AAAAAAAACTCCGTTATTTCTCCTGCTCCAAGCCAGGATGCTATACATTGCATCCTTAATCTTGACTGGATCGGTGGAAGGTTAAATCCTAGCATATTTTTTTACAGACTCGTAATCATCTATACTAATATTATAAAGAGGTAAAATTTGTAAGTTTGTATGTAGGGGGTAATCTTTGGAACCGCTGGTCGGATTGCCAATATTCTTTCACTGATAGATAGCTACAATGTTCCTGAGTGCTATAGGATATAAATCATCACGCTACGATCAAATGGAGCCGAGCAGCGGGTGAAAGCGCGTGAGAGTAGCTAGTAAGAAATAAAGTAAACAAAAGGACATTAATAGCAGAATTGATAACTTACACTAACATCGTTAATAATATAAATGATAAGGAATATAACTCAATTTAACAATCAAAAGATACAAAACGATGCGTCGAAGGCGACATAGATTTATTACAAGACTGTAAGCGATCCAATGGTTGCAAAACAAACCGGTTTAGCGAAGGTCAAGGACGGATTTGTGACAAAAACTGCGGCAACCGATATTGCCGTTGCTATGTTATTTAACCGACAATGGCGAAACGAAGGATTATGACTTTCAACAAAAGTAAATAAAAAAAAATGGTCTTATGATACTCAAATTAATGGAATTAAAATCCATAAAACGCATTTTCTACATTCTAATCCGCGACTTTGAAATAAAATACATATAAGTATAGCCTATACATATAATGCATGCAGATCATTTATTAAAATCGGTTTAGTAATTTCGCAGACGAATTCATTACTTCTCAATACATATTAGCCATAGTAAACGTAAGCTTATGTAACTTAATTACATCAATCTATAAGCAAAATCGTCAGAATTTTAACTAAACTAAACAGCAACTTTTGTACATCATTACATTTTTAAAACAAAGTCGCTTTCTCTGTTCCTACATCCTCCTATATGTATGCTTAAATCTTTAAAACTTCGCAACAGATTTTGATGCGATATTTTTTTATAGATGAGAGTGATTGAAGAGGAAGTTTTATATGTATAAACATATAATAACAATCATTAAATAGTGAATAAATTTAGTGTCAGATTGCACCCGTCCAAATACAGGGCGAGTCGCTAGTTAACTATATTTAACTGTAATGCGTAACTAACAATACTTCTAGGGCTTTCGCGTTATCTTAACTGAAAAAGCGTACCTACAAAAAATTTACGATAACTATTATGTAATTAATTACAAATTATGATCGATTTGCGATAGCTTATCAGTGACAGTGACCTGATAACGTCCAACCGATTAATATATGCCTACAAGTAGTTTAATTAATTATTAATTATTTTCCATAGACTATAATAATTATATAAACACGCGTCTTGTTGTTGTGTGTGTCTGAGTGACGCGTTTGTTGTGGTTTCAGATTGTAGGTATATCTGTATGTTGATCTAAGCACCTAGGTAGGTATAGGTACTCCATAGTACCTATTAGACTATGACGCATCATTACCTAATAGATACCTAAACTGCTTCTAGACAAAGAGTTGCGAAGAAATAGGTAGGTACATAATTGAACACATAAGTTCTTTTTGAAGTATTTGAGAAGAGATATATTTATACGGTAATTATGATTGATTGAAAATTATTAATGTATGTATTTACAAAATTATTAATAACTAGCTACACTCGAGCGGTTTCACCAGCGGCTTCATGTAAGCGTAGCGTGATGTTTAATAGCCTATAGCACTCAGGAACATTGTAGCTATCTATCAGTGAAACAATTTTGGCAATCCGACCAGCAGTTTCAAAGATTATCACCTACATACAAACTTACAAATTTTATTATTATTATAGATAACCACATTTATTTTGAAATTTATTACTTTTAGTAGGTACCTAGTAATCCAAACTATTCAAACTAATATTATAAATGCGAAAGTAACTCTGTCTGTCTGTCTTTTCTTCACGTCTAAACTACTGAACCGATTTCTGTGTTTGGTACAGACATAGTTTGGAACTCGAATAAGGACATCGGATAATTTTATTATCAAAAATCTGCAGAAAGTCACACTAATACACGCGACGGAGTCCCGGACAAAAGCTAGTTATTAATAATTAAAGTGTGGTGTACTGGTGAAAATTATAAAATCATGAAAACCCAATAACAATTACAAAAAGGCTGAAGGGGAGGGTACTGGGAAGAGTGGGAAGTCAATTTTTTCCTTAACCATTTTCCACAATTTACCTTTATCCTACCTATTATCTGTTTACCATATTTTACTATTACGAGTTCATAAATTAAAATAAGGATTATTTTACCCATTGAATTCAATATTATGTAAAAACCGTTGGTGAAGTAAAAATTGGCATTAATATTTTTGTTGAGGATTATATAAAGGTTTTTTTTGTTGTTCATTTTTCTGTACCTAGCCATATTTTTTTTTTTCAGGAAAATGGGAGTATTATATATTAATTTAATATTAATACGTTTTAAATAACTGAGTTCACATTCAATTTAAAATTTCACAACCTGAATGTAAGAAGTGAAATAAAAAGATTTCATTTTAAATAAATTAGTAAATTTTAGATTTTCTCACCAATGTAGTCTTTAACAACATAATATTTAAATGTAAAATTGTTTTTGCGTAAATAAACAATTTTATTATATTTTATAGCAAACAAAAAATAACAAGGTAACACAGTTTTATGGTTAAAGAAAATATATTATAAAATGCAATAAACAGCTATAAAATATTTCACAACTGCATATTATAATAATTTAGGTATGTTATATTATGTAACAAATAAATGAATACCAGCATTTTTCATCTGTTTTCCTAAAATTCAATTTTTGAAACCTGTCTACGGCAATTTATTATATCATGTTATGTAAATTGAAACTGAAAAAGTACCTAACATTTTAAATGTCATAAGTATATTATTACTATGTTGTTTATATGAATAATCTAAGTGTTTAAACTTTAAACTTTTTTAGATTTTTTTTTTTTATTTGGTTATTGTAGTTTTTAATATTCTTATTTACAGGCTAAATTTTAAACCAAAATATTTATAACCGCTGGATTAAATCTAAAGTTGGTCCATATTATTACTTATAAGTGTTTTATTATGTTTAATTTGTATAATCATATATAAATCACTTACCTGAGTACATAGGCGTCGACTTGCTCGCTCTGGGTGAAAGAGATGATCTCGCAACGCACAATCTTCAGCACATTCTCCCATTGTTGGCTGGCAACAAAATTATTTACATTTTTAATTTATTCATTACCATTGCTTGAATAAAAAACTTTTAGCTTTTTGAAAGGAACATGCTATAGGTTAACTATAAAACTTTATCAAACATTTTAAAAATTGTAATACAAATTACTTATTACTTATTGAAAAAAATATACTTTATAAGTACTAAAAACCTTTTAATTTTCCTTTTTTAAGAAATTAAGTTATTAAATGCTTATTAAAATAAAAATAATAAGTGTTGTAATAGAATGGTTAATGGTTAGTGAATAGAAAAGCAATTATTTCAAATCACGCGCGCCTGCCGTGGCCCGGCCCTAAGATCGCCAAGCCAACCACGGCAGCCGGGGCAACCTGCCGGCACCCAATAGGCGATTAAAATTTTCAAACAGCTGATTCCAGAACATTCGACAATAACAATCTACTACAATATTCCGTAAACACAACATTTCAAACTTATTTGCAATTAATAAATTAACAGAAAACATTATTTATTTTTGTACTTCTCCACTGCGTAAGTGTTTAAAGATTTAAATGTTCAGGTTACAGTAATGTACCTATCTGCCGGTAACCTAAATACAAAGCAACAACTTACGTAATTCAATACAATATATAACAATATTACTCAAGTAAAAGATGATCTTCACACAAAAGAATACTCACCGAGTAATTTTTCTCAAATCCGCATTTTTCGCCGGTGTAAACCATATTTCGATGAGCTTCTCAACTCCTTCGAAAAATTGCTCATTATTTTCACTACTAGATATTATTTCTGTTTCAGCCATGGCTACTTCTTGTTATTTGTAATTTAAAAGAGCAAAAGTAAATTATTGAATTTATTCTCACTGAGAACTTGGCGCACAACCGTTTTGATTTGACGTCGGAAGTTGACTGAATCTGAATTGAATGAAACGAAATTATTGGCAAAATGCGGGTGAAAGAAGAGATGGATGTATCAACATCTCTTTCTTTCAGAGCGAGCGAGCCGGCGCGTGTTTGCGTTCGGAAGCGGTGGCAGAGAATAAAGTCATGCTCGGTGTCGCTTGGAACGAAACCTCGTATTTATCGGTAACCATGCAGATAGGTACTTACTACGATCAATGTATTGCCAATGAGTAATATTAATATGTTTTATTTTTTTATCGGGCCGTCTTTCTCATTTAATATTTATTGTAGGGAAATACCCACTTTAGATAGAAATAGGACTAGGCAATGCCTTCGAAACATTTACCCAGCGAGTTTAACAAATGTTTTAGGGTAATAGAATGTTTAAGATATACTACAAACAAGGTTGCCTACATCTAGGAGTATTAAGTATACTTTAAATTATATTGTGCTTTAAACTTTGTACTTAATAAAGCAGCATGGATGTTGATTGTGTCACATTGTTATTAAACTAGATCATTCTGGCAACATTACAGTGGCCAAAAAAATGTTTTACAGATAGCAAGTACCTACCTACTTTGATTTTGCTAACTATGCAAAATGTACTGTGTTGAATAGTTTGACTGCTCTGCTTATGTACAACTAAAGATATACTCATAGCTTTATTAAAAACCATTATAACTATTCCAAGTGTACTTTTCCATGGTTGCTTGGGAAACAGTATTTTATTCTCTTTTTCTAGGCTTTATTATTAGATAAGTAAATAAAACCTCTAAAAGTACTATATAAATACTTTAATAAGAGGAAAATTTTATAATGATAAAAAATTAACATAAACTAGTTAACAAAATAATTATTAAAAATAATGTCCATATAAAATTGTCATAAATCTTCAAATGCTGCAACTAATTTGTGTAGGCGGCCATCATCAACTTTTTTGATTGGTCTAAACTTGGGTTTTAATACTGGAATATTGGGTGGAGAGTCAATTTCTTTTTCATCTTCATAAAAATCCTCTATGTTTGGTTCAAGATCTTTTCTTAAAGTGTTAGTAGTGGGCTTTTTGGTCTTTTTACTTTTTAAATTATTCACATTTGCATTCAACTCAACGAGATTCTTGTATATTCTGTCATTAAACTGGAAGTTTAGCTTTTTTGTCATCTGAAAATAGAAAGTGTTCCATTTATGTTCTTGAAAGTAAAATTGCTAGTGTGTTTATTGGATTACCATAAAAAAAATATACAGGAAATTTTATTCAAATGAGTACCACAATATTATAATTTCAGTCTTATGACTTAAATTTCGATGATCAACTTCAATAATGATCATCATAATCATAACATTTATTTTACCCTACAGCATGGTACAATAAGGTTTTACAAAGTACAGTAAAGTTTAATATGTTATGTTAATAATAACAAAGCGAGTAAAGAAAACACATATGCATATATGCTTGACATATATGCTAGGCATATATGCATGACAGTAAACAAACTAATAAAATATTATTGTCAACAATTTCTTAATCATTTTTAACAAGAAAATGTTGCTGTTATTATACTTAAATATAGATTTACCACATTAAATCACGTCTTTAAAGGCAAATACGTAGCATACTATTTCATTTTTAAGAACTTACTTTAGCACATAATTGTCCCTTATCAACATTTAAATCCTCTGCCGATAGTGGAGGTGGACTTAGTTTCTTTAGGTCAGCTATATAATTATTTATCGATTCACTCGAACATAACGTTGGCTGGCTCAACTCATTTTCTTTCTGAGAACGTAAAGACTTTTGGGAAGTTCTCGACGAAGCTGCTACATCATGCACAACTTGTCTCCGCGTCGAAGGCCTTACTTTAAGCTCACAATTTCTAACTAGTGTTTTTTTTACTTTCGAATCAGATGAAGCTTTATGCATGGCTATATAGTAATTTACATAAGCAATGATCAATTATTCAATATTTGTTTACAAAATTTAAATTCAAAACCGACGACGTTTCTATTTTGAACTTTAGACATTGACAATCACCATGTCAAATTTTAATGTCAATTTGACATTTACTCTTGTTGTGGGTTGCCTATTTTTTTTTTTTTTTTTTGGAGTTTATGGCCTGGATGTGGGTTGCCTACCAGATGGATCATGATTACCATTTAAACTGAATAAAAAGAATTAGATTTTTTTAACTAATTTTAAAACGTTCATAGTTGTTGTTGGATAGTAAGTGATTGATTGGCATCAAGTATCTCCATAGTACGTTGTTGCATCCACGACCGTTATACAATAAGAACGTATTGTGTTATTCATTGACTTTTAACGAATACATTTATTTTTAAAAACATTGCCTCACACTATGACTTTTTTCATGGTTCCAGACCGGAAATAACAATTTGAGGATCACATAAAGAGTGGGAATTGAATCCGCCATACGTTGCACCGTAGCCAGTCGCCAAGGAGTGCGCCAACTGTTCAATCGAAAAATTAAAACGTAGTTATCATCATGATGAATACAAATTTTCATTAATCAGTCAGTGCTCGAGTTAAATTGTGTATAAAGAAGTAGAATTGTGCGGGCGTAGTGCGGGGGAGCCAAGCTTCGGCACGAATGGGTGGGCTCGACCGGAGTGATACCCAGAATAGATAGTCTTATAGAATACCGGCGTGAAACAACCACAGCGTTGTGTTTCGCCGTGTGAGTGAGGTTACCGGAGGCCCAGTCCCGCCCCTTCCCCTATCCCTTCCCGATCTTTATATCCGCAACCCCTATCCCCAAAAAGGCCGGCAACGCACTCGTAACTCCTTTGATGTTGCGGGTGTCCATGAGCATAATAACTGAGATCATAATTCCTCTTAATATTAACAATTTTTATCTTGTGCAGTAGAAGTTAAAAAAACTCATAATGACTCACCTAATAACAAAATTAGTTTTCCTAAACATGGGCACACTCTTTAGGTACACTTCAATAAATATCCTCATGGTCATGCTGGTATCCAGAAGGTGGACGACGAGGTCCTTCAACATGTCAAATGTCAGTTTGTCTACAGCCTTCGTGTTGGACGGACGTCTGATCTCGGAGAATCCTTTGAAAGTTTCTGGAAGGTTCGGCGGATCCTCGCTATCGTAATCTTTGTTTAAACAACCTTATCCCTAAAAGGCCGGCAATGCACTCGTAACGCCTTTGGTGTTGCGGGTGTCCATGTGCGGCGCCGATAGCTTACCATCAGGTAACCTGTCTGCTCATTTGGCGACTTATACCTACTATAATGTCTTTTTAAACTTTGTCCCACACTAGGATTTTCTCTCCTGTGTTGTGGGTGCGCTTACAAACATACAATTTCACATATCACCACTCTATTTGCATTGTTATATTATCATTTTTAACACGTTAACCGCCACGTAGGTCACCGGTGACCTACGGTAGCGGAGGATGTGCCTTCAATGATTTTCTGTCGGCAGTCAAAGGCTTAACAGATAAACTACATGAAATAGAAAAATTAAAATAGTTTGAATAATTTAATAACAACCAATTTTTTCATAAATGTGGTGAAGTATACAGGGTGTAAGGGACAGCCCTCCACAAATTAACAGGGTGCATTCAGCTCCTTATTCTGAATCATATTCCAGTGAAAATTCTTTCAGGAAAATTTTCAATTTTTTTTTCGTTTTTTCAGTTCCTACACCTCTATTTCAATGTATAATTACATTCTATGTATGAAGAATGACATTAATGTAAATAACACAGCTAAAACAAAAAAATACGCAATGGTTGTGTGAATTCTCTAAAGAACTACGCATGAAATCAGCTGTTCAATTTCTACCTAGCGCGAGTCGTTTGAACTCACCGCACCGCGGTCACGGCGCAGCGGCTCGGCGCCCCACCGCGCCGATCGCCGCGCCGCCGCCGTAGGTATACCTACGATCCCGTCCAACGTACAGAATAGCTGCGTCCCTTTCTGTCGATTGAACCAGTGTTGCCAACTTTTAACTTTTGTTACCTCTTCTACCTTTCTACCTTTCTACCTTTGTAAACGAAAATGTTAGAACTATCGAAATTTATCTAAAACTTGAGAACTCCTTTGCATTCATAATCACATTGATGAGATTTTCATTAATCAATTAATGAAAATCTTGTCGCGCACATAAATTGAATAAAAAATAAATAAAGATTAGTCTAGTTTTAATTTTAAAGCATTTACAAATACTACCTAATTTATTAATTGATTGTTCTTTTTAAGCGATTACTGGCTAGTTTTTAAACTACTTACAGATTTACATGGCTTCACAATAGCCATGAATTGATAGTCGAGCCAGAAATTAAACACAATCTCCCTGGAATGGAAGCACAGCTTTCTATCACACTGCACTTTTATTATTCTAAATTAACTAAACAATGAAATTAGAATTAAATTGATTTAATCAATTCATTTCTCTACAAAAAATAACAGAATGATAAATTACGACCATGCATAATTTTTTATTTTTTACCCCGAAATTTTGTACCTAATTTTCGTGTAATTGGCAACAACAGATTTATGTTTGTGTGTGTCTCATCACATGCAGTCGCCATTGTGCCTTGCTGCGATGTTACTGTTTATGTTCCGCGAGCGTGTGTTGGTACGGATCGCTCGCGCATTCGGCTTAAAAGTTTTATTATAAGTAGTGTTGTTAAGTTTTAATAGTTATGTAGTGTGTGAAGTGTAGTGAAGTTTTGTTGTAGAAATTGTGCGAAATTACTACCTAGGTACGTTTAGCGCGCGTGATTATGGGGAGATGATAATGTGTTGTAGTAGTGTAGGTATCCTGACCGTCGGCATCCATCAGACTCCAGGATAATTACTGGTGACTATCAACGCTTGCTAGAAAACCAGCCCATTGTTCCCAGACAAAAAGGCGCCGGAAGACCAATACCTACGTGGATTTTGGAATTGGTTCGCTAACGTAACGAGACGCTACCACTTACCAGTGCTTTCCTATTTAAACGTAGTTTAGGTAGGTTTGGACCGCAACCGTGGCCAGCACGATCCCCAGACGTAACCCATTTGGACCCCTTTTTGTATGTAAAAGAAAAAGTGTTTGTGAGTGCGTGTGCAAGTGAGTACGAAATGCGAGACCGCATCACAAATGCTTTCCAGAGCCGGAAACCGGAGCGATTCTAAGGTACCTACGCATTTTTCTTTTTTTATCATTTATCAGTTACCATGTTATGATTGTTAGATTTTCTTTTGTTAGTAATGCGGCTATCTTTTAAATAATAATTTATTGTTATTAAAACGTGGCGCGAGCGCGATTATTTAAATTGTCTTTTGTAAGTAATGCGGCTATCTTGTAAATAATAAGTTATTGTTATTAAAACGTGGCGCGAACGCGACCGTTTGTCCGAAAGGTAAGGTCGCCGCGCTGCCCATAGTGTAAAGTAATAATACTAAAAGCGCTGCCGTTCGCTGCGTGCGTTTGCGGTGGTAGCGATACATTGCGTGTATGGTAATGAAACAAATCGGTTTAATTGGATTCCCATAACGTTCCTGAAATAATTTCATGTACCGGTCAACTTAAGACGATGTACTGAATCCACCCTATCAGTTTGCGGAAGGCTGTCCCTTACACCCTGTATGTAACGTGGCCACCCTACCCCTAACCAAATGTAATCCAAGCTCATGTAAATGACAAATGAATTGGAAAGCGTTATTGTTGCATGTTTTATTATTTAAGTACGTTTCTCAATGTTTTAAAATATGGAAAACAAAGGCAATTTTATAGTTTTAAAAAATAAAGTAATTAACGTTGAAAGTTATTATTTTTCAGTTGCAATTAATTTCAGAACGAAATTTAATATTTCAGTGTTGAAGTCGACATCTGTCAAAACCAGACGCATAAAAGTCAGAAAGTGAAGTCGTCGACGATTTCAATTTTTCATGCAGCGATATTGATGATATTTTCATAGACGTAAGATAAATATTATAAGCCATAAATAAGCTAACATTATTTAGGTAGAACTTTAGCTTTGACGCACCTCAACTGATTACATGATGTCAAACAAAAGTGTTGAATTTTCTGTAAGTATTTTATTGTTACTTCTTGTTTAGTTTTAGGCCATTCTTTATTTATAAATAAAAATGTTCTTGCAGAACCCTGACTGTTTACCTGTTGAGAACGTAACGTTATCAGTGAGTAATGCCGGCGTTGTGCAGCAAATTAAGGCGTTGGTGAGTACTTGTTAACTGCAAACATAATGTTGTGAAATAAATCCTCTTTGGTTAGGAAGGGGACATCCCTTCATTGTACTGTGTTGTCATCTATGGCTTGTGCATTCCCCTCATGCTTCCACATCAAGGCTTTTATAATTTTGATTCTAGTTACTTAGTATAATTGGTGTGGCCTTGGGAATATATATATAGGTAGCTATGTTTTACATAATATTTAATTATTTGTATTTGCTATAGAATAAAATACTGTATAGCTTTCTATTAAGGTTTTACACAATTTAATTTAAACCTAAAAAAGTTATAAATAACTTTTGATATGTGAGGTTGAGATTTTTAAGACACCAAGTTTGTTGCAATGCGTTATTTGAATAGGTAACACATTATTTTTGTGACATAATAAAATAATAAAAATGTCAGAACTTAAAAAGTTCTTATTTGGAAATTCAATTTATTTTTTATAAACCACATTAACTTTTATAATAATTATTTTTATCTCTAAGTAACTAGCGGCACTGCTTTCCACGGCGCCAAATATATTGCTCACAATGAAAGGGTCACAATTTCTAATATTTTCTGTGGTGAACATTCTCCTGACAATAATAAACAACAATGAAAAAATTAAATAGCCAAAATTGGTCCAGGCATTGTTGAGTTATGCGCTCACCATGTAATTTTTATATAGATTGTCAAAAAAAAAAATTTTTAGGGATAGGGATAATAGTTATCCACGGTAGATACACTGATATACATAAACAGTAGGTTCAGACAATAAGTACAAATACAAATAAAATGTAAGGGTAATCAGAATATAAATAATTATATGAAATAGTTGTACCTATCTAATTAAATATCACAGAATAAAACTAAAACAAAAATGGAACAAGATGGTAAAATCCCCTTGCCAAGCAGGTTGCCAATTCAGTATAAGTTGGTAGAAAAGAATATTCGGATTAGCAGGTCAAGCTATAGTAAAAAATAACATCTGGCCAAGGATAAGACCTGTCAGTAGAGGCTGGAGGCTTTAAGCAGAGATCAGTGGGGACACTCCTACCCCTACTGACCAGTGCAGGACTAACTTTAACCTATTGGATTAAAGCTCAAATTTCAATAAAAATATTGTTTTTGTAGTTAGGGTAGGTTGGCGTATAGAGGTACTCCATTTTAGAATTAGGTACTCAGACTAGTGATAGTACTTATCTTGATATCATTACTTCAATGTTAAGTGCACTAAAGTGGTACTTTAGAGGTATGCTAAATATAGTCCTAAGTCAAGTTTCTTTGCAAGTACTTTTATTAACAATAACAAAAACAAAGAAAGTTATGATGAATGTGATGGAAGATAAAAGAAGAAAGGCTCCTGTAATAGAATGATAAAGTGAATTTTAATAGGAGCGCAAAAATAAATATGCTAGAGGTCACAACACTAGTTTCTGCCTATGCGCAAGTAGCAGAGACTTGAGTTTATCAAAATAAGTACAGACATTCAAACCTTCCTAGAAATGAGCATACTCCTTCTTAAAAGGCACCTCTGACTACTCTGGTGTTGCAGGACTTGCAGGTGTCCATAAGCGTCACTGATCACTTACCACCAGGTGACCTAACTGCTTGTTTGCTTCAGATTCCAAAAAAATATATCAACTAACATACCTACAGATTTTTGTACATATGTATTATGTATCTAAGTTTATAATTTCCATATAAACCTTCTTACAGGACCCATATTGGGTGGAGAAACGTGATATGACTATATACGAGCGGCCACCGTCGGGCAGCACCATCGTACTAGGAGCCGTCGACACCTGGAAGGCCAGGATGGAGGGGTACCTCGAGGATGTCAAGTGGCTGCTCAGCTTAGAATATTATAGGTCAGTTTCTATCGTAACACACAGTGCTGCTCATTGGTAAGAGTCCCGTTGTGGATTGAAAATAGTAGAGCTTTTCTCAGTTAAGTCGGTATTTTAAATAAATCGGCGGCTCCAGCCCCAGCAGGAGAAGGAATGGGGTGGCTTTTAATCAGTAGTCTGACACTTCTTCTTCTTCTTCACTTCTTCAGTGGCGGGAGAAGTCATTGGATGATTTTACACCCTTCAAGACGCTCCCATACTCCTGTGCTACGATTAACCATCAAATCAGGTGACGTTGATTAATTGCCATCAGGTGATCCCTGTCTGGTCTGCCCAGCTTAACTCATAAAAAGAGCCAATATATCTTATTCATCATTCCTCTTCTACCATATCTTCAGGTTTTGGAGCACAATCCTACACCACCCTCAGTGCATGGATGCGCTGGTATCGTTCCTGCAAGAGGCCACGCCCCCCTACATCCCACCACACGAGAGTCGAGACGTGCAGAAACTCTATGAGGATATACGAAGAGCTGTACTCATAGTATTCAGCCGGCTAGTCACTAATAAGGAGAGTAAGGTATGGTTTACTTACTGGTATTTTTTATGGGACTTGGCGGCAAACGAGTTGATGGATTACCTGATGGTGAGCATTCGGTGATGTCGCTCGACTTGCAGGACTAAGGCGGAGGCCTTTGTTCAGCAGTGGAAGCCTTCCGCCTGATGATGATGATGATGACGAATGAGCAATCAGCGCCGCCTACAGTACCAGATGATGCATATGCGTTACCGGCTTTCTTGGAGTTAGCGATTTGAGGATTTGGGTTAGGTATTTGAAGTTTAGGGATAGGGGGGACTGGGACAACTGGGAAACTGGGAAAACTGGGAAATACAAAGCAAGCGTTATTTCACGCTGGTTTTCTCTGAGGTCGAGGTATCATCCCAGTCAAGCCGGCGCATTTTTGCCGAAGTATGACTCTCACACTGTCACAAAATCATTTATTCCAATGAAACCATAAATAGATAGAGAACTTTTGAAATGTCAAAACAGAGTAAGTTTGTCAGTCTGTTCATTAGTGAAGCTAGGTGTTCCTTCCAAAATGTACATTCGAATGGAGAAGAACAAGCAAGAAACTCCATGGTCACTCTTCTACAAGTTCACCATACATTTTTAATTCATATTATTGTAGTTATATGTGAGAATAATGCAATCAACATACAATTTGTTTTTGACTTATTACAGACACAATGGATGACCAAAGAGTACATGGCAGATTTATTATATAATAAATTTATATTCACTATACCAATTATATGGGATCTCTGCCTCACGTACGGAGTGGACAATGGGAGACATGTTGGTAGGGTACTGGATTGCGTGTTTGGGTTGCAGCCAAGGTACGAAGGGGATGCCGTAGCAGCTGTAGCTTTCGTTAAAGAGGTAAGTTGATTTTTTCTTGATGGAATCGGTTAGTTTCGTAGGTCAAAAATAAATTAAATCGATGTTTTAATACAATAAAATATTGATAAATAACTATAGGTACTGTTATTCATCGGTCTAAAGTTAACTAAGTTTTCGATATTATTTAGCTGATTTTTAAGAAATAAGGAAGCTATTTTACTCACCAATACTGTGACGTCATAATTTTGAGTTTTATACAAATTTCATATAATAGTTTTTGACATTTGGATAAAAGCATTGAATTTGACTAGTTGGAAACTATCGTATTGTAATTTTGCACGATTTTTTATAACTTCGATGGAGAAAGTAACATCTTATAATACCTAATTAGTATTTAAAAAGACTAACCATTTGTTTTTAATTCTAAAATTTACTTTATATTGTTAGTAATTATTGTAAATTGTGGTTTTTGTTTTAACTACAGCAAAATAGATAGAACGACAACTTACATGGTGACAACAGGCAATTGAATAGGGATATAAAATATATATTATTAGGTATAAAAAATATTTATAAAATTATTCTAAATCACGATCATTATAAAAGATGTTTTAATCAACCCTTCTTACCGCAGGCTTTTAAATACATAATACTGCAAGTAAACAAAGATTACGATAGCGAGGATCCGCCGAACCTTCCAGAAACTTTCAAAGGATTCTCCGAGATCAGACGTCCGTCCAACACGAAGGCTGTTGACAAATTGACATTTGACATGTTGAAGGACCTCGTCGTCCACCTTCTGGATACCAGTATGACCATGAGGATATTTATTGAAGTGTACCCAAAGAGTGTGCCCATATTTAGGAAAACTAATTTTGTTATTAGGTGAGTCATTATGAGTTTTTTTTTAACTTCTACTGCAGAAGATAAAAATTGTTAATGTTAAGAGGAATTTTGATCTCAATTATTATGCCCATGGACTTGGACACCCGCAATACCAAAGCAGTTACGAGTACGTTGCTGGCCTTTTGGGATAGGGGTTGCGGATTTAAGGATCGGGAAGGGATAGGGGAAGGGGAGGGATTGGGCCTCCGGTAACCTCACTCACACGGCGAAACACAAAGCTGGGGGCTGTTTCGCGCCGGTATTCTGAGGCCGTGGTATCACTCCGGTCGAGCCGACCCATTCGTGCCGAAGCTTGGCTCTCCCACACCATGTTGCTAATTGTTAATGAACTTTGTTTTTGTAAATGTGAGTGTAACCAATTATAATTAATTAGATTTGTAGAATATAGGTACTTGTGTCAGTTGGGAGTTGTCATGCTCACTCAGAGGTTTCATTGGCGGTGGCACGGGCACTGGATCGCTCGATTCCCTATACGCGTAATAGAACTGATTAAATGATGTAACAAAGAAATCATTGTGAAACTGATTAAAAAATGAGTAACCATGGAGTTTTTTGCTCGTTCTTCTCGATAGTAATCTAGACTTAGGAATGAGCAAATATGTAGCTTCACTAGAGGACAGACGGACAAACTGACATGCATAAAGTTAACATTTAGATTTTTTTTGCTTGACGTTCAAAAGTGCCTTTTGTGATCTACTTGACATAAATGATTTTGATTTGATTTGAAGATTCTGTGAAATCCACTCATACACAACCATCCAATTGGGTAGTTGCCTAGGTCAAAAACAAATTAATTCGACGTTTCAATCCAACAAAAAATTATAAAAAATAACTATACTTTTATTCATCGATCGATGGACACACTGAATTTTACATATCTTTTAGCTCATTTTTAAGAAATAAGTAAACTATTTGACGGAAAAAAACTATGACGTCATAACGTCATAATTTCATATAAAAGTATAGTTTTTGACATTAGCGACATTAGGATAAAAGTATTGAATTTGACTAGTTGGAAACAGTATTCATTCGACAATGAACCCTATAACTAACTTATTAAAGTTTTGTTTCAGTATAGTTCAACTTTACGAATATGGCATCCCGCTTTTGTATGAGAAGTTAGAAGAGACGGGAGATCGGACCAGCGTGACCTACACGGAAATAGAAGGGTACATCGACACCGCACGAGCCGAGCTCATAGACATATTTAGGGAAATACTTGCAGCTTATAAAAGTGCAATTTTTAGTGGAGAGTGAGTATTTTTCATAATAAACTTTCTTATTATTATTATATTGGTCATACCTAATGTTTAAAAGTTGATTGCTAAGCATTCCAAGTTTAAAACTTCAGTATTTAAAATTTTAGCTTTTGAATTCTATATTAAAGAGTAAAAGTTTTGATTGTTTGATTGGATTTAAAACTACTTGACCAATTTGTTTTTTATTTCGCTGTTTGGAAGCTCCATCCCCGGTTAACATAGGTTATAAACTGCGGGGCACCATAATATAATATTTGAGTGTCAGTTTGTATTAAAATTGGTTAAGTTGCTTAATGAATAAGGATTTCTAAGCGCGTGACGTAACCACTCTTTAGAGGTTTAAGTTTACCAGACATCGCTACTACCTACTCTTGTCACATAATATAACCAACTAAATGATGTAACAAAGAAAACAATTGTGAATCCGAATGAAAAAGAGTAACCATGGAGTTTCTTGCTCGTTTTTCTCCAATGGAATATAAGCCTTGGAACGAGCAAATAGCTTCACTAGAGGACAGACCGACTGACTGTCAGTCTGACATGATTGTTGAACTTTTTGAAAAAAATTTTTTGTTTGACGTTTAAAACTGTCTATAATCGTCTATTTGAAGTAAATGATTTGACTTTTCCCTCGATTTATTACAAACTAGCTACTCTTGCGCGGTTTCACCCACCCGCTGCTTGGCTCCTGCAGATCGTAGCGTGATATCGTGATATAAGAAGTGCTAGAAAGAAATATCTCCCAAGAAAAAAATTATACGGAGAGAACACACACACACACATAATACATACACACACAAACATGCACGCACGAGCTCGCACACACACACACACACACACACACACACAATAATGTCATTCCGTCTTGATACTTTCGACGAATTATTGTTTTCGAGGAATTACCGTTGAATTTTCCGGTGACCCATTATAATATTAAGTATAGATATTCAAATTTTCTATTTTTTTTCAGGGGCAGCATAGCGAACCACGTGGAAGACTATCTGGCGGTGATGATGGACGGGCTCTCGGAAAAGTTGTTAATCAAAGACTACCACTCCTGTTACCCAGTTCATGATGACCTTGAAATGTTAAGACAGGCTTACCCTGACATGTATCCTTTTACAACCAACCTTCTAAGGAAACAAACATATTTATATTCTAAGGGAAATGCGACGTTAATTCAATAGGTATTAGTATGATTTTTCGGTGAGGTTAATGAAGTTTTTGGGGCTCTGGTTTAAAAGTTCTAGATTGATATACTGGATACAGAAACCTTAATTCACTTGATGTTCGCTTCCATAGTGCTTGCAGGGATAATTGCTTGCTGTTGTCCCATTTCACTAACATTAAATTTATTCAACGGGTCTCCACGAGTTGGCTTTCACCCCTCGAACGCCTTCCAAAGGATCTTGGTCCCTGTAGTTTTGTCAATAAAAGCGATCACATTATAAAAAAAGTAGTACTTGACTAGCTAGGTATTTGTTAATAAGAAAATTTTCACTATTTATATAACCTGAACTGCACTCCAGAGACACAGTAAAGACTGATTTCATTCTCCAAGCTATCTACTCAAACCTCGACGAACCCGTCCCGGAGTTGCCAGCGCCCACAGAAAAACTTACCAACGGACACACAGATACTACCCCTACACAAAATACCCCTAAAGATGCAGAGATACCTGACAATGTTAGAGAAGAATCGTTAATAAGTGAAGTTAAAGATATTCTCCCCCATTTAGGGGACGGGTTTATTCTCAAATGCTTGCAACACTACGGGTTTAATGCTGAGAGAGTCATCAATAGTATTTTAGAAGATAATCTCGCTGAGCCTTTAAGAGGTGAGTTTTTTTTTAGAAAGTTTATTACTTTTATGAGGCTAATTTTAACCTTGTTGAGAATAAACAATCAGTATTGTTTAAGCAAGTTCTTTGGTAATGTGGTTAGAAGACCGACTCCTGTAAGAAGTATCGGGGTTTTAATTCTTTTAATAAATAAGTAGTATAATATAAATAATAAACATCTATTCGTCTCCACAAATTACATATATCACAGAAAACAGCAAAAAGGTGTTACGTTTTATAGTTGAAATTCTTTTTTTTTTAATTTTACTCAATGGGCTTTCTTTTCTTATCGAACAAAATTTCGCATATTTATCACACCTAGATCTGAACTAAGTTTAACATAAATCGTCAATTTAAAGCATCCTTTTTAATTATGGGGTGTCTTTATAAACAATTATTATATTTTGTGTGATCTACAAATTGTTGTTTCGTGTCTATGTGATATGTAGGTATGGGAACTTTGTGTGTGTGTCATGCAGCGATGTCACAAGAAAATCCAACAATAATTACAATTTTTACTATTTTATTATAAAATAGTAATTATTTGCAATTGATTAATACACAAAATATTAACTCCCTTGTAGAAAATAAACATAAAATACTTGAAAAATCTTTTTTTTTATTTTAAAATTAATTATTGACTTTGACTTTTTCAGCGTTAGACCAGTCTCTACCAATAATACCAGAGGATCCATTGGACACGAAGTTCTTGGAGACAGGCCAAGCTCGTCTGAATGTGTTCGACGGAGACCAGTTCGACATCATGACCAGGGATGACGTGGATGTCTCAAAGATCCACATCGGGAAACGAAAGTCCAAATATAAGGATCTTAAAGATATGCTGGATGATAAGACTGAGGTCAAGAAAATGGTGGATATTTATAGCAAGTATAAGTGAGTAGATTTTTTTTATCGTGGTTTGTTTTTGGATAACTTTGCAGTTATTCTTTTCTGCCAAGGTAAATCTATACTAATATTACACAGAGGTCAAATTTGTAAGTTTGTATGTAGGGGGTAATCTTTAGAACCGCTGGATGGATTTCCAAAATTCTTTCACTGATAGATAGTAGGAATGTTCCCGGGTGCTTTTTTGCGAGGGAAAATCGTCAAATGATTTTTCCTGCCCAGGGTCGGGCAAGATGGAGTGTAAGAATCTTACTGACTAAAAACCCCCCGTTCCTTCTCTTGCTCTAGGCCAAGGCATGTTCCTAAGTGCTATAGGCTATAAATTGAAAAGAAATTGATTTGCGTATTTGAGTCGAGCTATCGTGAAACGCTACTGTCTTTAAAATCTTGATATACGTTACTTTTATACGTGCAAAGCCTCGGGCGGAAGCTAGTATTGTATATAACAATACATTTTCAGTAGTTATTTAATCTTACCTTGACTTTGGCCTATATCTATATCTAAAATATAAAAATAAATCGCAAAACGTGTTGTTAAGCGCATAACTCAAACCAATTTTGCTAAATCCTTTTTTGTATTTATTATTATCAGGACAAGGTTCTTATTAAAGAAAATATTAGATAAGTAGAGGGGAAAATTGGGAAAATGTGATCCTTTCGTTGTTAGCGAGATAGCGGGGGTGGGCTGCTAGTTTATATTTATATAACTTTGATAATATGTTCTTAAATTTGTTTCCTATGTTCTGTTGTAGCCTGGTTTGCGACGAGGAGGCTCTGTACTCGGACGAGTACGACGACACATATGACTCGGACGGCGTGGCGCCCGTCCCGGACCTGTCCGACGACACGAGGCGACCTTTCGTCACGCCTCGAGCGTTACGCCAATACGATCGGGAACAAGAGGTATGTTAAACATATTCGACCTTATTACACAACAAGGTTTTTTTCTTTAGTATAAGACTAAACCATTGACACATGGAGTTTCTTGCTCGTTCTTCTCCATTCGAATCTACAATTTGGAATGAGCACCTAGCTTCACTGACTAACAGACTGACAGACTACTTCTCTATTTTGACGTTTCAAAAGTACCTATTTATGGGTAGGAATAAATGATTTTGACTTTGACAGTTTTTGCATTTCGAATTGAAGGTGGATGAGAATAAGATTCAAAATACAAGGGGGTTTGTTTTCAATTAATTATTATGTTTTTGGCTTACTCACGTAATAATTTGACGAGATGCTCGACTAGTTTCAAGCCATGCTAGAGGCCCATATTCATGAGCAGCATTCCGCGACACGCGACGCGGCGACTGTCGCGCTGCAACCGATTGCTCCTAGGGGTATATGCTAGGGTTGTCTACTGCTTAATCGGAGTAATCACTGGTAGTCTCTAAGTTAGGGTTAACAAAGTTATTTCTCAATAAAATGTTTGCATCACTCAGCACCACTTGTGGGGTTGGAACCATTTGGGGGATTGGAATGGGAGAAACAGCAACTAGTTACAGGCTGGGTTGGATTATTAAAAACTTTTCAATAATAAGCTAAGCAGCAATAAACAATGTTAACAGCTCACTTCAGCTTCAGCTTTTCAGTTCAGGTTTATTTTAGAACTCCTGCCTAGCCTACGTCCCTATACTAATTTCCATGTTCTTCTTCCAGGAGGAGTCGGAAGAAGAGCCAGAAGGTCAAGAAGAAGATAAACCTAGTAGTAGTCGAAATAAGATGGACTTCTGTGTGAACCCGGAGGAGATGCGTGCGCGCAGGGAGGCTAGCTATCAGGCCAGGAGGGGTAGGGGACATGCGAACCGACCCGCAGCGCAGCCCAGGTATGCTAGACGATAGATGATTAAATATCTTCTTTATTTACATTAATGTTGAATGGATTTTTGAACGACAAGTGATTGTGGCGAACTTTGGTCTTATAGAATTTTTACTTTATGTTCCCATTATTGATGGTCGATTAATCGTGATCTGTAATTTTAATATAAAATTATCAATGAGCAAATTTAACCAATGGCAAGTATTGTAGCCTAGCAACCAGTTTACGTAATTCATCAAACCCCAAACGAACGCCGGCGTTTGTGCACCTATTGTTCTTCTATTGTCTCTCGAATTACCGCGTTTTAAAGGTTAATAATAATAATTAAATAAATTAAATGTTCCCATTAGCGTTATATTCTGAACAAATTAAAACTATTAAATTATTATGTTCCAGGAATACGGACGTAACAGGCAAGCCACGAGGCCAAGGTCAGGAGAAGGAGGTTCTCCATAACAGGGACAAGAAGGAGAAGAACAAGTCAGCCAGAGCCAACCACAACCGAAGGTCAGGCGCCCAGTGGAAGAGGAGCCAAGGCATGATGCCGTCTTAACACCCTGTATAGCCCGGAACGCAAACTACAAGTCTTTACATTGTATATTGAAATTAGGATTTACGTAATTGTAACAACACCCTCTATAGCGAAACTTATTTAAATAATTTATATCTTAACACCCTGTGTATCCAGAAATGTCCTGATTTTTGTCCCCAATATATTATTGCAATGAGCTTGTCTCAAATGACATGTGATCTTAAAAAAGCGCAAATTATAAACGCTGTATGTAAAGAGAGTGCCGTATATACTTCTGCCTATCTCTTCAATAGATGTAGCGTAATTGTGAGACTTGTATAATAACATATTTATTAATTTATTTGTACTTATTTATTTATCATGAAAATTAGGTTTTTTTTGTTAATTTCCGGAGTTTTGTATAAAATTATTTTTGGTTTATGAGAAACTCGAATTTGTATTGTTATAAGTTTTGCGAGGAATATTAAATATAATGAATTATTGTGTTAAATGGGGTACTCATGTAACTCATTGTTTAGTGTGAGTTTGCTTAACGTTAAGCAATCGATTTATCGGTATTTATTCTTGTAAAGAATCTATTTGACAAACATTTTTTAAAAATATTTTTTCAACCGTAATATGGTATTCATATTATAGAAATCTATAAAAGGTACCTTACCCTGAATAAACTATTCGAGTTTCGTATTAACAGAAAATAAGGTTGTAAGCGGGTGGATTTACACATAGGTTGTTATTTATTTTACGTTGCCCCACACGATTTTCTCCTGTGTCGTGGGTGCGGTTACTAACATACAATTTCACATGCACATGCCACTCAGACTCGCAACAACAATTTGTGGATCACAGAAAGAGTTGTTCCGTGCGGGAACCGAACCCGCGGCGTCGACGCTGCGAAAACACAACGTTAACGTCAACGCTAGTAAAACGCCTAGTCCACGGCGCTTGAGTATAATTTACGTGGACTCTCTGGGCGAGTGGTTGGCACTGAATGTATTAAAGCGTAGATTTTATTTGAAACATGAGTTCTGCCTACCCTCTAAATATAAAGGAGTGGTCTATACTATGTGTATAAAGGAAAACGAAGTCATATAAAACCATGTGATTAGATAAACGATTGTATTATATATAATATAGTTTATATTATGTAATACGCTGTATAAATAGTGGTTTGTTATGTATATTCCAATGAAGTTGTATTTATTACATATTTTGTTTTATTTTGAATATTGAGTTTCTTAATTAACTAAAAATCGCTGGTTACTCACGTGTCTATCTTGAGAAAAGCTCTACTAGTTTCGAACCACAGAGGGGTTCTTTCTCATGAGCAGCGTGCGCGGACGCGGCAACGTCGCGCAGCAAGAACCCCTCTGTGGTTCGAAACTAGTAGAGCTTTTCTCAAGATAGACACGTGAGTAACCAGCGATTTTTAGTTAATTTAGTATGTCTCACGATAGTTATTGTAAAAACATTGAGTTTCTTCTCTATGTCGACGAGCCTTCCACCTAGAACTGGAGATGCATTCCCAACCTAGGACAGCAGTAGACTTCAGCCAGGGTTTTGGATTCAAGCGCGATAAGTTATTGTGGCCCCGGCCTGCTGCAAAAGGAGCGTACTTAATGGTTTTTAGTCAGTAAGTGTCTGTTACTCCCACTCTCTTCCCAAATCGGGAGAAGGTATTTAATGGATTACCTCCTTAAAAAAACCCCAATGTCACGAGGTGTAATGTAAAACAGACACTCAAAAATCTACTTTACCTTCTACACAAAAAGTACACATTTCATTGTTACACTTAAGGATATGTTGCGCTCTGCAGTCATTGGCCTCTTCCAGACTCGTTGTGAACTAACACTTAATGCCATTGGCCCAGCATTTGTAAGAAAATACTTTGATTAAAGTTGATTGAAGTTAATAAAATTGAGAAAGGCATGATAAGATGGTAATGCTGATAGTGGCCTTGTAGTGGTTTAAAACCTAGCAGGTACCTATAGTTTGAAATCAGCAATCAGCCTTGAGCAAGCGTGGTGACTAATGCTCAAACCTTCTCCGTGTAAGAAGAGATCTTTGCTCAGCAGTGGGTGATTATAGGTCGATATAATGATGCCGACCTGCGGCCACCGTAGGGCGCGGCCTGCGGACGACAAACTCGGGGCGTCTTGTCGTCCGACCAGCAGCAGGCCTCGAGGCGGCGGCGCCGTGTCCCGCGCGCGCCTCATAGTTGAGTCCTGCGGTCGGGGTGACGGCCGCAGTGGGTGACGGGGCCCGTAAAACCATCTGGCGGGCCAATACCCGTCGGGGGGTTGCGACGAATGCTTCGGCGATACTCGCCCCTCCGACACATGGGTAAGTGGAGGAACACCGGGTTGGTTTTTAGTCAGTAAGAGTCTGACAGTACCCCCCTTCGCCCTTCCCCGAGGGCGATGGGTCACCATGAGGATTTTCCAAGCCGATGCCAAAAAAAACGTCGATATAATGACAGTAATGGTTTGGCTATACAGATGCGTTATCCACGACTGACGTGTCGTTTGGAATCGACGTTGAATCGCAGAAAATATCGAGGACTAGGTACTCATTTGTTGGTGATTGGTCGTAGCTTTAAAAACTACCTGGCTTTAACTTGTGGCAGCTACATATTTACTCCATTAAAAATATACATAGGTACCGTTGCACCATGCAGGTATTACATTGACTTAAAACGTCATACGTCGTCTATTTCCATAGACCAGGTCATTGCATGTGGGAACTTTATTGTGCTGCCCATCACGCGTTACCGTGTGACTGGAATATCCAAGGTATTAGGTACTAAGTTTAACATAGAAAACGGGTAGGCACCATATCTGATACTAAGATCAAAGGAGTTTCTAGGTAAAGCAGTCTTATATAATATGATGAATATCAATATCGAAGTAATATAGATTTAGCAGAGCAGTTGAAAAGAAATAAGTTTTCTGTCATGGTAGAACAGAAAATATTTGTTGCCACCTTTACCTACCAAATACTATTTACCCGCGGATATTTATAAGAGTCGAATTATTGGCCACTAATTTTACAGAGCCCCAGCGCTTTGTAATATATCTAACTAAATCTTTAAACTGCGACATCCAAGTAGTTTATCAAGCTTCGATATTAAGGCAAACGCCTCCAAGACTAGCAGCGAATTGTCAATGGCGGTTTTTTAGTAAGAAATATCATCCAATGACTTCTTCCGCGCCGAGTGGAGCAAGAGGGAATGCCACTCTTATTGACTACAAACCAACCGTTTCTTTTCCAGCTCAGAAGCGTTTCGCGATACCTACTCCTTTGTTCTTGCACCGGCAACCCTAGCTGAACATTGGCTCCAGTGGGCACTATCTGTGATGGCCTGATCATCTCGCTTAAGACACGTCGGTGCTCAGCCAAAACAGGGAACCATATCTGCCGGGTGGTCCTCACAACACCTTTAAACAACTGGCTTCATACAAAGAGAAATTGACATATTTTAAGATGGATAGTTTGTTAACACGTAGACGTGTAATAGACTTAACTTTTCTTTATAAGCTTGTAAGATGCCATTTTAATTGTCCGCCACTTCTGAAAACTGTCAGTTTGCGTGTGCCAACACGTGTACCTAGACGAGCGACGCTTAAGGTCGGATTGTTGCGTCGGCCATGCGCTAGAACCAATGTGCGAGATTTTTCTGCTATGTCTCGACTGCCGAATTTATATAATGAAATTTGTGGAAAGGTCGATATCTTTGCTGATACGCTACCAAAATTTAAAAAGGCTGTGATGGGATTGTTGAGTGTCCAAACTTAGTGCTTAATTTGTCTCGATTGTTTCTATTGTTATTTTTTACTTTAATTTTATTGTTCCGCATTATTGTAGTATTTTTTTTCCCTTTTTTAGGGTTCCGTAGCCAAAATGGCAAAAACGGAACCCTTATAGTTTCGTCATGTCCGTCTGTCCGTCTGTCCGTCTGTCCGTCTGTCCGTCTGTCACAGCCGATTTACTCGGAAACTATAAGTACTACAGTGATGAAATTTGATGGGAATATGTGTTGTATGAACCGCTACAAAATTATGACACTAAATAGTAAAAAAAAGAATTGGGGGTGGGGCCCCCCATACATGTAACTGAGGGATGAAAATTTTTTTTTCGATGTACATACCCGTGTGGGGTATCAATGGAAAGGTCTTTTAAAATGATATAAAGTTTTCTAAAAAACATTTTTCTTAAAGTGAACGGTTTTTGAGATATCAGCTCTCAAAGTCGTAAAAAGTATGTCCCCCCCCCTCTATTTTTATAACTACGGGGTATAAAATTCTAAAAAAAATAGAGGTGATGCATGCTAATTAACTCTTTCAACGATTTTTGGTTTGATCAAAGTATCTCTTATAGTTTTTGAGATAGGTTGATTTAATTGTAATTTTGGTTAAAGTTTATTATATTTGCTGCTACGGAACCCTTTGTGCGCGAGCCCGACTCGCACTTGGCCGGTTTTATTTAAATGTTTTTTCTAGTTTGTAATTGTAATTGTAATATACTAACTGTTGTCGTTACGTTACAGAGCATGTTGTGACACTTTAAAATGTTGTGCATTTGATTTTATTATTACTTAAGTTTTTAGATGTAAGTTTAAATGTAACAACTACTAGTTGTCCAAATAAATAAATAAATAAATAAATAAACACCGGACCTTTTCCTCTATTGGTTGTTAGAATGTTAATGGTTTAGTCACTAAGCTAGAATCTCCCAGGTTCTACTTATTTCAAAGTCACTACAAAATACGTTTACACCATCATAATCTAACAAAACCCATCAACGACGCAATAAAGTCAGTCGTTCCCATATTTCAACACAGAGAACTCAATCAGTATATCATTTACCATGACAAAGCCCCATAGAGAACTTGAGTAATATTTTTGCAAATAAAATGCATGAAAGGTTTCGCGATTATAAACTGTCGACGATGAATAGTGGAGGTTGAATCGGGCGCGTGTTCAGAATTGTAATATCTCATCTTTGTCATGCGCTTGCGGCGACAGACTGAGATCTAGTGATGAGCTGAGCGGATGGTGAAGCGATTTTCGTAAGTAATAATAACTATCTTGCTAGTTTCTTCGCCTGTTCCAGGCCGACCGGGGACAAAGTTTATTATTGCGCTTGAATGCTCGGGTCTGCCTCATGTCCAGGCGGCGAGCTACCCTTACTTGCCTTCCGCAGATACGCGTTGTCCGTGGCCGGCGCCCGCAGTAGGATCTCCTGCAGCAGCTATGTCTCACGCACTCCACCTTCTTTGCGTGGATCACTACTTCGTAGAAAGTGGAGACGCATTTACAGTTCTTCTTGCTCTGCACCATGTACTTGACTGAGGCCGTTCGAGATGTCGCTGCCGCCAATTGCTTCCCTGAGAGCACGGCGGTGCTCAGCCCAAGCAGGATACACCGCTACCCTATGCTTCAACATGTCCTCCGGATGGTCCACACAGTGGCCATACTCGGGCAGTCAGACTCGCGACGACACCCAGAGCGTCTTCTGCGGCGGCTGAAGCGTGAGGAGAACTGTTTCCTTACGTGCTTAATCGACGGCTTTCCAGCTTCTCTCATTGCGCCATGGCCATGACCATTGGTCACCACCACTCTAGCGATGATAACCGGCGGTTTATGCCCGCTACTAACAAGAACCAAAGGAATATGAAACTACATAGGTTATTTAAAACCTCTATGGCTTATAATGTCATTCAACTCACAATTGCCACTAAGTCCTAACCCTTACAACAAAGCCGCGCCGCGCTCATAAAAGCGTCGTAAGCATAGTCTTAACTCTGCACCGATGTCTTCATGCAGCTACATACAATTCGATGCGCCTGCGCATAGTATTCGTAGCGTGCGAGGGACACCCGTGTTTTGTAGTCAATAACATCATGGATAAAATATTTAGATGGGGATTTGGTAGTAAAGGTTTTTTGTTCTTAATTTTTTTGACACTTAACGTAAGGTTAGGTTGACGATCTCCGGCCACCGTAAGCACGGGCCTGCGGTCGGCGAGTAAGGGCAGCTCGCCGCCCGACCAGAACCAGGCCCGAGCGTACGGCGCGTAGCGTTCCGCGCGCGCCTCAAAGAGCCATTAGACCACCACAGATGGGGGGCCCTAAAGGGCTGATGTTCAGCCGGGGTTGCGGGGTAAGCGCAATGAGGCACCGCGACCTCGGCACAGAGCAGGAGAAGGAACAGGGGGGTTTTTAGTCAATAAGAGTCTGACATTCGGAGAAGTCATTTGATGCCCTAACAAAAAAAAAACAAAAAAAAAAACGTAAGGTTAGGTTCCACCATCTTTCTCATCTAAGTATGGTAACACTAAACAAGAATTATCTCATCTCGTTCTGTCTTTGTGTGTAATGCTTTTAAAAATGACCAGGCGTAATTGCAAACTACAGTCTCCATAGTTATTTGGTATAGAGATACGAAAATAAACTTTGATTCAGTAAGTATAGAGACAGTTAGCATGGGTTAATGGTTTCAAATGGTTTTTTTTAATAACCATACTGAATTATATGGTATAACAACAGCAACTGTCTTTGCGCTGAGTGATCTTTATTTTCTTACCTTCATACGATTACTGTATGTACATATTGTACCATATAACTTATATGCAAGAAATTTTACAAGAAAATTAGTTAAGTGTACATATAAAATAAATACAAGATTATTACATTGGGGTGCAGTCTACTCGTAAATAAGAGCCCCGCTGTGATTTGTAACTAGTAGAGATTTTTTCAGTTAATTCACGTAAGTCATTAATTCAGTACACAAAAACTAATATTTTTTAAATACATCTTAGAAATGCAGATATAAATCATAATAGGGTATAACTTACTGTTGTTATAACACGGTTATCTTTGCGGTGTATTATAGGACTAGTAGTACATCCTGCCATTACCGTAGCTGTCACAAAACTTAGAATTATTACTGTACGTTACACTACAAACGTTCCTTTTAATGATACTTACGCAGCATTTCAAACTACAATGTTCCTCAATGATGGGTCATTTTCTAACACAGCTCATCTTAGGAGGTGTAGTTGGTGTGACAACTTCTAATAATAATTATACCTTATTACAGTTCAATGGTGGATCTAGATCAAGAACCTCTATTTATCAGAAGGTTTAATTTCCACGCATGGCACGCAGATTGACAACAGTTTATAAGGTTTAGTAGACAACGTTTAGTAGGTTGAGCAGACGGATTACCTGATGGTAAGCAATCGGCACCGCCCATGGACCCGCAACAACAAAGGAGTTACGAGTTTGCCCGTCTTTTGGGGATAAGTGTTTCGAATGTTTAAAGACTGGGAAGGGATGGGGAGGGATTGGTTCTCCGGTAACCTCATCTACACGGTGAAACACAAAGATTCGATTTTGTTTTTAAAACGATAAAATATTTCGTTCTAAATC